GCTTGTACACTTTTTTCGACCACATCTTTTCCTTCCCTTCGCCTCTCTATTAATGTGCTTGGACACTGAGCTCTGTGAACAGCCAGCCTCTTTAGCGATGACCTTTTGTGTCTTGCCCTCCTTGTGCAAGGTGTCGATGGTCGTCTTTTGGACAACTGTCAAGTCAGCAGTCTTCCCCATGATTGTGTAGCCTATAGAACTAGACTGAAAGACCATTTAAAGGCTTTTGCAGGTGGTTTGAGTTAATTAGCTGATTAGAGTGTGGCACCAGGGGCCATCAATTTTGAACCTTTTCACAATATTCTAATTTTCTGATATGATGAATTTGAGATTTTCATTTGTTGTCATTTGTAATCATCAAAATTAAACAAAATAAACATCTGAAATATATGAGTTTGTATGTAATGTATGAATATAATATACAAGTTTCACTTTTTAAATGGAATTACTGAAATCAATCTACTTTTTCATGATATTCTAATTTTATGACCAGCACCTGTAGGTTACTATGCATAACTGCTTATTTTAGTTTGAGAATATTTATACCTACACAAGAAAATGAATAATTGAATCAACTAATTAGGCTCTAAACAACATGTTGATATCTATATATATAAAATAAATAAATATAAGAAAGCCTTCTGCATCAAAGAGTGGGTCTGTGTTAGTGGGGTTACTATAAGTGAGGGTATACAGTATGTGTGTCTATTTCGGTTAGTTGGAGAGAGACCAGCAGGACAGATCTGGGACACCAGCCATTAGTAGTAAAGCAGCATAAAAACTAAAACCAGAGCAGCTGCTGATCCACTGAGGAATATTTCCATATGGGGCAGGTTGTGTGCTTTTAATTAACTGTGTAGAGCTTCTGAAATTTTATCTTTTTTCCCCAGCTCAGATGGTCGACATCATCATATAGTTAGACATTCTGTGGGAAATGTAGGTTCACTCTTTAACTGCAGTCAATAAAAGTGAAAGAAATGTGGATGGTGCTTGTACTGCCATGGGCAGGAGATGGTGAAACAGTGTGAGTTAGGGAAGCTGAAGTAATACTTTTAAAGCTGCTACATTAAAAATAGATGTTCTGCTTTTATACTCTCTTTCAACATATAAATCTCAACAGTGTCATAACTAATTAAACTCTCCACTCAATAACTTTAAATTGAGTTGTTATTTCATTGGAATGATTAACAACGTAAGAACCAGCATTTAAATGCCATATTTAAATTATTCTATTTTGGTGTGCTGCCTTAATTTTTCCTATCATTGTCTTTTTTTGTTCTTTTTTTTTTCAGCTTTTATTGTCAGATGGCAGAGCCATAGCAATGATGTTATAACACATTTTTCTTTCTTAAATTCTGCTGTTGACAGCAGCGCAGATGAATCGTATGTGAAACAACAGGGAGTTTAATTATGTCTTTGAAAATGAAATGATGGTTCCCACTATAGGAATTTTGACAGCTCTTTTTATGTTGCTTCAACATACCAGCAAGCAACAATGAATTGTGTTTGTCAGGCAGAAAATGCATTTATTTGTTAACATCATGACGGAAGGAATTGTAAACTAGAAGGAATAGAGCGAAACAGGAGGCTGGACAGATATTGGTAAAAGAACATGTAATTGGTACTAGGGTCTATCTAATGTCTTATCACCAAGAGTGACTATGACTATTATGTATTTATGTCAATGTACAGAGGGTGAAGGATCAAACTGGTAGCAGAAGGTCTGCACCAGCATAGTGAAGGGATTTCTTTTGATAAACAAAGGCTGAATTCTGGGCATTAACCAGAATCAGGATATAACAACATTACTACACCAAAAAGCAGCAGAAAACATAACTTAAATACAGCTGAGAAAGAAATAAGAAATCAGACAAGATGCAAGGAAAACAGCTGCATAACTCCAAAAGTCCACTTCATTATAAGGTATGATTTGCACGTGCACATGCAACCCTTTAATTTGTTCAAACAATCATGTTTCAAACAAGTACAAACACCATGAGGATGTCCAGCCTTCACAACTTTTGGGGACAAGACATTTTTTTTCTCAGAGAGATACATTTCTTTAGTGTACCGGTAATTGTGTAAACCAGCTCCAAAAAAAAGGCTTTAAAAAAGACTTTATAAAAATGCGGACTCAAGTTCATAATGGAGCATTATCATTCACAAGGCTACAAGAAAAACAAAGTATAATTTGAAAATTCAACAAAGGTCTACATTTTGGAGGAAGCATTGAAAAAGACTTTAAGCTTTAAAACCCTAGCCCAAGTTTTGGCAACCACAAAAGAGGCATAAACCAGAGGCTCAGTTTTCCTAAAATAAGCCTTTCATTTTTCTAGAGGAGGGACTGGTGCAAAAAGCTCACATCACAAGGAAAGAACACTATATGGAGATACAGTATGGGAGCTAATTTTGACGAAATTAGCCAGTAAGTTCAACTTTGCAATCTTGAATCAGTGTCACAAAGAGTTGGGACAGTGAACATAAAATAACAAAGTAGTAACATGGACTGTAAAGTCATTGCTTTACTGTGACGATTAAAACATCACCATTCATAACATTCCCATTCTTCTTATCTTGGCATTTGCCGAAGACAGAAAAAGTGTTGGTAATCCTAATTGACCAAAAATAGGAAAGATTTAAAAGTTAGAAAAAAAGATTTTTAAAAGTTGTGGCTTCATAGACAGTGTATGTTGATATCGGCTTTCAGGTGAATACTGCTGTTTACTTTGAAGGCAAATATAGCATAACCTTTACAAGTCACTTAAACTCTGGAGCATCTGCTTTCATTCTACTTTTATGTATGTCTAAAAAAGTTTTTTATAAATATGGTCACCTAATTAATCAAATTACTGAACCTAAGGTTTAATTTTGTTGGATTTATGCAGGCTTGCAAATTTTTCGAGCTTCATGCAGCTCTGTTAATAGAGTATGCCAACTACTGAGGTGAAAAACCATTTATAATGCTCTCTTGCACTTGTAGGATGTCTTTCAGCACCTTTATGGTGCAATACTTTCAGATTGAGAGGTTTGAAGGGATGTTTAGTGTTGTTAAGTATGCTTTTGGAAATTCCTTCTGAGGTGTCAACAATTTACAAAAATGGGATTTGAGTAACCTGAATTTGGGCACACATTAGTTGTTTCCCTGAGGCTTAAACTAATGACTCCTCAATCCTTAATCCCCAAGCTAAATAATAAGGTTACAGTTAATGTGAAAATTATTTGATAAGAGTTTTGACCGCATTGCTTTGCATCAGTTATATCAGGGTGATGCTTTTTTACAGGGAAGACTGAGTTTGTCTGCTGTTGTAACAAAAATATTATGTAAAAAAATGGCAACCTTTCATAAATTGATGGCTTTAAATATAAAATAATTTGGCAATTACCAGGTTCTAAACATGTTTAATTCTTTTCTTAAGCATATATGGCCATTCCCCACAGACCCCCCAACATATCATAATTTATTAAACAATGATAAGGACATGATGCTTGTAAAAAATCTAAAGAATTTTAAGGGGGGGAATTTTTTTCACCACTGCAGATCATGCGTAACAAAACAGCAGCCTAAGTCAACATAGAAACAGAAAAAATGAAAAAAGCCCTGGCTTCAGCAAAGTGGGTGTAAAATCAGTAACATAAAAATCACCTACAGTGTAAGTCATTACAAAAATTCTGCTTTTCACAATTTTCAAGCTGATTTCTACCCCCTTAATTTTCCTCAAACTTAATTTTGTAACATTGGGTTTATACGTAGTACTGTACTGTAAAATCTGCAGACCAACATTCAGATTATATGTAGGTAACATATGCAAAGGGGCTATGGCATAAATATCAAAGGTTTATGGCTATAAATATGGAAAAAAATCAATTTTTTTTATCTTACTCCGACTTGCAGTGTCTTGAACACTCAGGTAAACTGCCCTCCGTTCATAACTAACAAACCAAAGCTTTTAACAGGGTGGCTTGTCCTCCGTAGGAATATGATATTAAGCGATATCTATCTTTCCACAGTCCCCACTTAAAAAACCTGTCAGCTTATTGCTTAGGATGATGGATTGCTGTAACGATAATGAATAAATTTACTCACTTGAGCCACATTGGATTGAAAGTTTCCTAACGAATCTATTTTTTACTAATTCAGACCTTGTAGAATAGTAAAACTGAGATGGAAAAGGAAAAGAGGTTGTGGAAGATGGTGGGAGGATGGTCTAGGGAAGTTTTTTTTCTGTAGTTCAGGGTGCCTTTCCATATAAACAGAACAAGCCTAAACCAACCCAAGAATTGTTGAAAAAAGAAGGTAATTAAAGATAAAGAAGAGGCTTTAAGAATTTGATGTGAGGAAGCAATGATTGACAAGTTTTTACACTGAGAGATGTGATTAGAGTGAATTACATTTTAGACATATTTTTTCCTACATTTCATGATTTCATGACTCCTTCCATCTAAATGAACACATTTAAATAAATCACACTGTAATTAGGAGCCAAATGCAAAATAATTAAATGTTTTTGCGCCATGTCTTTTTTTGCCACACTGGTTACATTTTATCACTGCTGCACTTTAAGAAATGGAAATGTCATGAGAGCTGTACAAAACGAAATGACAATAAAAGTTGTCTAAATCTTAAATTAGCCCACATTCTACCTATTTGACATAATAATTTTGTATTGAATCATATATAATTAAATTTGGATCAAACTTGATTCTTTGCTAACGAACATAAATTGGAGCAGTTAGCATCATACATTTCCTAAGGTGACATTTTTTGTGCTGCTTTTGCTGAACCGAGCAATTCCGTAAAAATGCAAAATTTGATGTTTTAGTAGAATTGGATTCAATGTGGGGTTTTGTGTCATTTAAAACAAACCCACTTACCCTTCTGATCTAATATTAACTCATTTCAGTTTTCTTTTCTTTATTAAAAATAAATAGAGGATTTTTCTTTAGGATTAAATTTATTTAAAACAAATATGACAGCTACACACAAAGATGATCACACTCACCCTCCTTTAATGTAGTCCAAGAAGGTGTGCTCAGACTCTACATTGAATGACAATAAGGAAACCTGGCAAAATTAAAAAAACAAACATCAGAACATCTCATGCAGAGTAATTTAATACAATAAAATCTTCATTAACACTGACCTCTAAGCTAACCGCATACAAAATTACTTAACCATACAGAATGTCCATGGAGCATAGTAGTTTTACAACCACTGAACATGAGCATGGCTGATCAGCATGATGGATATAGCTAATCACAGATTTTAATTATAGAGCCAAAGCATTGAGCAAGGGCACTATTAAAAACATATCATTTATAAACATTCAATCATTACTTTATTAAAAGAACAAGGAGGAAACTTAAAGGTGTTTTGAGCCAGTTAGAAAGTATTTGAGTTGTAGGATCTAAAAGCTAGGACCAGCAAGAGAACAATAAAGAGATGTTGAACTGTTCTTTTAAATCTGCTTGGTGGAATCCTACCAAAGTGAATACAGAGAGGAATGTGATATCAGTGTGGGGGAATGAAATCTTATCTATGATATTAGCCTCACCGTGCCGGAGTTGATGTATCTCTTCTTCTTTAGTTTCTTCTTTGGATTCACCACCTTGATAAAGGCAGGGCAAGAACAAAGGATAATGACATGAATGTAAACCTGAAACACAATTCTGCACATCCACCTTTGCGGGAGTAATAAAAACATCTTTGTCCTCCTATTCCTTGTCTGTAAGGTTAATGGTGCATAGGGAATTAATCCAATATCTACAGTAGGTGAAAAGGATGTACCATTGATCATGCCTCGCAGCAAGACACGGATTATTCAGTAGGATTTTCTATAACCACCTACTCTGTATCCTGCATGTGTCCTTGGGGACAAGGAATACTTTTCAACCCCAGTAATAAAACAAAATGATAACTACATTCAGAATTAATTACACTGTGCAAGTCCACAGGCATGCTGTGATGTGTAAAAAAAAAAAGGTCAAACCAGGTGATAAGAACAGCGAGCAGAGAAAGCACAGTATCTTGCCCTTAATGAAAGTTGCACTTAGAGCTTAAAGCCAAAAACATGTAAATGAGAGACCAAGGTCAAATATGTCTGCTGCTCAATCTACGTGTGCACAAACATAAAGCACTGGCCTAAAGGAAGCTTCTAGTCTCTCTTCTATGGTTTCTAAAAATACCTTTTGCCGCAAAGATGATGCCTCATTGCACTTTGGCCGTTACTGACCAAGCTCAGGTTCTTTCAAAAAACATGCCTTTTAACTAGCTTACATTATACTTCTATTAACCAGCCTGGGTAGTTAATGCGCATAAGCTTTGTGTAAGTGAGGTTGAGTATGAAGAAGGCTGAACATTGTAACTTGTTATAGATTCAATGCCCTTTATGATCTGTGTTTTTTGTTGTGTTTTTTTGTAGACAGCCTAAAAGTACTTATGCTCTCTTTATCACCCTCTTGGTTAAGAGCAGCTTCAAGACATTAAGTGTTTCATTTCGTAATTATGTAGAGGCAACCTTTTGATAACAGGCATTCAATATTCCTTCCTGTGTCATGTCAGCCCTCTAAAAGGAGGAGCACTCCAAGACCTTTGTGCCTTTACTTTTTTTAACCAAACCCTTTTTTGTACCTGTCGTTTTTCATGTTATATACTTTGGCCACATCTATAGATGGTTAAAGCAAAATCAAATACCACATTTCATTCTGAATACACCACATTCGCGGTTAAACATGGTGGTAACATCAAATAGTGAAGATGCTTTTCTTTAATTGTGGCAAAAAAGGTGGTCATCGTTAGTGGCAAGATGAATGATACATAACTACAGGACACATCTGGATAATAACCTGACAGTTGCTGAAAAGCACTTGAGACTAGGGCAGATGTTCACCTTCCAACAGAATAATAATAATACTAAACATCACAATACTAAACACATAACCAGAGCTACAATTGCATGTCTTTTTTCATGATTCAGAACAGAGGACCCCGTATTCAGGCAAGACAGGCAGTGCGATTACTCAAAGAGCGTTTATTAAAATAAACGGGTCTGTGATAACAGTTGCTAAGATGTCTGAGGTAAGAAACTCTGGTTTAGAGTTTAGTCCATGCCCAGAAAACAAGGTAGGATGCAGCCGCTGGGCTGCCAACAAGATGCGGCCGCTTAGAGTGTCCCAGAGGCTGCAGCCCGGGAGAACAAGCAGGAGTCCGAGCCAGGTCAGGAAAAAAGATCAGAACAGGAACACGCAGGCTCAGAGGTTCAGGAATCCAAAAGCAGTTCAGGCCAACCGTGCAGGTGGAAACAGGCAGGCTCAGGGATTCAGAGGCAGAATGGGTAAGGATCAGGTATTCAGAAACACTAAGGTAACGCTGGCCACCTCTCCTCACTGGTTCGAGAGAATAAGAATAACCTGGCCCAGATGAATGGGAGCAACTAGCTTAAATAGAGGCAGGAGCAGGTGGATAAGTTGAGCAGTAATGAGAAACAAGGCAGAATTGGACAGGTGAATGAAATGAGTAATTAAGCCAGTCATCAGTGCAAAGATCATGACAGGTTTGGATTATACTACATGTTAGAACAGCAATTTAAAGTTAAAAAAAAAATAAAAAATTATAATCGATAAAAACACTTGAAACTTACCTGTTACAGATTATTTTAATCCAAAGTGACTGCTAATTTGCACAAAATGTTGTAATATCTTACATATCTTATTTCAAGATATGTAAATTTAATAGACATAACCAAAAAGAAACTGAAGAATGAAATTATTCATCTGAATTTAAAAATGCAAATGACAGAGTTTAAAAAACAAAAAAATACTGTATACTTAAATTATACTATGTATAATTTTTTTTCCAGTTAGAATTATCACCACAGAGGCACAAATCCTTTACAGGTCTGGTTAGAATCTCCTTGCATGCAACAGTGACCAGGTTGGAGAAAGAATGAGGATGTTTGCACCTAATCCAAATGGTTCTTTAAAGACCAATAACTAATTTAAAATGTAAACAAATATGATGAAGCTATTCAAAGACAGATTTAACAGCTACATTAAAAAGTACCTCTTGGAGCAAAAGGCATGCTTTGTTTTGAGGCCAAAATATATTTCTTAAAGTTTCTTTTGTGCCAAGAAGAACAATTACCATAATATCAGGTTAGACATAGTGTAGTAGTTACCATGCAATCTAGTTTCAGCCACAGTTGGCTTTGTATGTTTATTATTTCATGAGATATAGAGGGTGAATGCAGAAACGTGTTTTGCTGGGGAAAAAAATGAGTCATTATCTCTTTAAAGTTAAAAATAAGTAGTTCACGTTTTCGTTGTGACCTGAATTCTATGTTCAAGCTGCTTAAACAAAGGAACACCATGACATACCTAACAATACTCAAGAGGAAGCCTTTAACCACATTGACTAATTATAAGAACTTTTCTATTCCTTAAGGGTTGCAATGTATAGAAAACTGTAATTTTTTCCACTCACCTCATACACGTTTAATTGGCTTTGGCCTCTGCATAGCTCTTTGTAGCTTGTGGTGAATTCACCAATGAAATCATGACTGGTGGAAGAAAAAAAATACGCAAAAGTATGTCATGAGGAGAACAAATGTAGCAGAAGCATTTACAGCATTACTATTAAAACACAACATTTCTTATCACTAACTAATTTAAAGACAGATTTGGCAAAAATTCGTCTATTTAGCAGAATAATTTAGGTTTAATGCTTTCCCAGCTATGATGGCAAAAATTTTAATAACATGCTAGAACAGACAATGTAGGGAGTGTAAAATATGAGCATACTATTGTACAAAAACCCCAAATAAGATTACCTTTATACGAATTGTTAATTTATTAAAGCTAGATTTAACAAAAAAGCATAGAAACCAGACACATAAGAGGTCCATTTGTTATCAACTTTTTTATAACCATAATAGAGCATGTTTAAGGATCATTACCTTCCATCTCTGTCCCAGTCATACACCTCCACTTTGATTGTCCTGTCAAAGACACAAAACCAGAGCTCATGTGGGTTAATTTTCCAAATGAAATAGAAAAGTCATACAGACCCATTATAAGATATTTTAGAGGGTTAGTGGGTAAAATAAGTCACAGAAAACATTCTTTGCATGTTATCTTCTAATAATGATCTAATAACCAAGGCATACCCTTTTATCTTTAAGGGGCACTCTTTGTGTGGTATTTGTGTCGCCTTTGATGAACGCATAATTCTAAATGTATATATATATATATATTTGCATAAAAAGTGGAAAATCAACAGTTTTCTGCTGCCTAAAGACATAACAAGGATCCTCCAAAACTCTGGGAAGAACCTTTTCATGTGGAATGAGTCAACCCAAGAGTGTAGACATATCTTAGCTAATTAAATCACATATTAGTTAAAAGTATTAGTTTCATTTCACACAGCATTGGATGAAATAAAGTAATAGTGTTACAGGAACATTGCTGTGATGTTTAATTTGCAGTTGCTCTGACAATGGTGGACTCTGCAGTATGCAAGCTTTTTTTTTGTCATGTAGCTTGGCTCACGTTGTGTTCAGACTGTGGGATGCTGGGAAATGCAATTTCTAAAAGAAAATAACTGCCGCTAAAAGTAAGCAGAAAAAAAATAGAATCAAGGCCAAAATATAATATAGGATTTTTGTATATTTTGAAAAAAAAATTGATATGGGAGCTTTTTACATATTTTGACTTTTCAACTATCTAAATGATTTCATGCATTTTCTAAAGTGTGCAAAGTGTTTGACATCCTGCCTGACCCATGGGTGGATTTTATTCTTTTCACACTGTTAAACAGGCTTAATTTTTCTCTCACACACCAGCTTCGGACAGCTTTTACTTACTTGCCTCAATGTTGTATCTACCTTTGACTCTGATGAAGATGGTGAAAAAACTTTATTCTCTTTGAAGAGGAAAGTAGTTGAATAATTTATTTTGTAATTGTACAGTTCTTCAACTGTAATGCTCTTTATACAGCTAGAGTCTAATGGGCAATGTGCAGAGAACCACAATTTTAGCCAAGATAAATTCTGTATGAATATCTTAATGGAAATAAACCAGATTTAGATCTCTGGTATTTTAAAACAATGTGTAGACTTTAGTTTTTTTTAGATTCAATATTAAAATCATGTAATTTGTTTTGTTTTATTAAAGTAATATAGATATTGGCATATTTGCCAAAAGTGTGCATAAAACAAAATTATATTGAATACCAACGATATCTTATCAAAGTTCCTGTGATTGATTGGAAGGAAGAAGGAACTTATATACAGTCATTAATAAGGTAAAATATTATTGTAAAAATATTCATTTCAGTAACCCAATACTTTGAGGTATTGATCTACTAAAGTAGAGGGTAGATAGAAGCCCGTGTAGATCTGATGGCCAGTACAAAGCTGATCTACCGACCATGAGGTTTTTGTCACAGATTTCAAGTGCAGTTTCTTTGTCTATATTTAGCACATTTGAAATTCAGGTGCAAACATGTGTGGCGAGAAGGCATATTGATGGAATGACAGTCAGGAGAGACAGAATGGTGTTTATTTATACCTGGACTTTCAGAAATAAAATAGTAGAAACATATTGTTTATCGAGGAATCACGTTTTTAGAAATGCAATACGGTATATCATATCATATCATCTTCTCTCCTGCCTGCATCTTTTCCACTAAGCGATCATACCTGCTATCTGTGCCCAGTTCTGTTGCACATTGCGGCTGCCTTTGGGACGTGCATAATACATCCACACTTCTCTCCCAATCTCTGGTGACAGAAAGTAGCACATACAAAATTCTCATTTAAATAGGGCAGTCCGCAACACTTTGCACCTGTCATCAATTGTGCAATCTTAGTAATTCTCCTGCAATATGCCCACTAATGGCACATGCAATGGTTTTATTAGGCAGGCAATTTAGTGCTCCTAAATCCAAAATGGAATCTTATTGGATCACAGCCTATTGTATAATACAATTTAAAGATTAATTACACATAGACAGATGTTTTTTAGACTGTTTTTTTTAAATATGAACCATTTTCATCAACAGCTGATGGAAAGTGATGAAAATGAAAAGTGTGTTATATCTGCTAAATGGTTAATATTGCCAATAATTTCTCTCAGCAACTGCAAGAATATTTCTATTTTGGACCTCTGGTCTTCAACATTTTAGCATACAAAGACCACTTTCTTGGGTGATAGCACTGTGTGGCTATTTAAGTGATGTTACTACTGTGACCTTAAAGATGGGGAAGAAGGTAAAACTTTGCCTGCAGAAATTTGGAAAGGACAAAGCAATTAATGGCTCCTTGCACTAAAATTTTGCCCATATCCTACACAGAGTAAACGGACAGAAAGTGACTTTTGTCAAGTTGCAGACCTCTAAAATATTAATATATGTCATGCCAGATCAGATCCGCTCCCTTCTGATGCACTGCCTGCCCACCACTTATTTTAAGTATAATTACAGCTTTCATATACAGTAGTATGTGCTGTAGAATAAGATATCGAGGTTCACTGATTGTGGCCCATCTATACATAGAGAAAATGAACCCTAAACCGTTTGAGAAAGCACCACCAAGACATTGGTTTTAAATACCGTATGTGGCATCTGATATACAGGTGGTCAAAAAGAGCTGATCAGCAAACATGTGTCCTTAGAGAAAAATATCATGATCAATAAAGGGGATAGGATGTAAAAGATAATAATCTTGCTTTTTTTAACTGTTTTGTGCACATGCACAAAGATAGAAGTCTCATAAGCGAGGTTTATAACGAACCAACACAAAAGATCACCTTCTGTTTGATTCTTATTAGCCACCAAAATGCAAGTTTTCTGTCAAAAAAAACTCCACACCATAGAGCCAAACATGTCCTTGAGCTAGCCAAACACGAAAAATATTTTATTGATCTAACAATGGAGAAATCAAGTCTATGTTAACCCCTCCCCTTTGGGGATGCAGTGGGCTGCCACTCTGCAGCACCCAGGGAGCAATCAGGGGTAAACTGTCTAGTACAAGAGCAAGAGTGGCAGTGTGTGAGAGCGGGTTTCGAACTCACAACTTCAGGATTCGAAGCCCTGTGCTCCAACTACTAGGCCACCACTCCCATGAAGAGGATTTAGTAAGGGTAAATAATGTTTTCGTTTTCTTACTGAGCTAAAAGAAATGAAAAAGCTCCCATTAGCTGCTGTCAGCCATGTCTCATTGGGTCCAGAATAAGAGGGATGACAGAAGGGTACCATGTTATTTCTGACCTGGACTCATTCTGTCTGCACTGTTTACCAACTTCATAAACCTGTTAAATCCAAAAGATAAAATAAGGCTATATATATATATTTTTGTTTTGTTTTGTTTTGTTTTTGCCATAAACAAATGAATGTATGCTCTAATCACTGTTAGAAAAAAAATATTCCAAAGTAAGATAAATCATATTTTTCTAAAAGTGTTGACTATTATAATAGAAAATAAACCTCCTTAGAACCTCCTTAGCTTCAGTTTTCATCCCCAATCAATTTCACTCTCACAATGCTTGCTGGATTAGAAATAGAAATTCAACCTCCTGATCACTAATGTAGCCAAGCGATTAGAATTTTATTAGATTAATACAACACAGAAAGATGTTTGCAGAGAGCAGAGCCTGCTTCTCCTCCTTATCATTGAAATCTTGTGATTATCTCCATCTGCATTTTTTACTTTTAAGGTTTAAGAGATATTTGCTGGTTACTAATATATAATGTCTTCCAAATGTACTTATAAGCCTTTTACATAGCATGTTTTATCACATTAAAACCTCAAACTGAAATCGATTTTGTTGGTACACCTCATGATAGACCAGCACAAAAAAATATGTAACCGTTTTTGCAAATAAAAAATATTTAAACTGTAGCTTGTAACTGTATTTAATTCAACCCCTTTTACTCGAATACCTGTGAATGAAATTCAGGACAAATAGTTGACTTTTAGAAGTAACATAAAATAAAAGAGGTCAATTTCTAGAAAGAGATGCTATCTGAAGACCTTAGAGTGGAGAGGAGAGCTAAGAGTACTGATAATTATGCAAATATTCCTGTCTCAGTTTTGAACATTTGTTGGCAGGACAGCTTTTTATTGTAAAGTCTAGGAATTTGGACTTTGTGGTCAAATTGCAAGAAGGACGTCCTCCTTAAAGGAAACTGGTTTTGTTTTAAGTTCACCAAAATTTTATCATGGGACGCAACAAAATGCTTAGAAATGGAAGGAGTTAATTACTGTACAACACAGTCCTGAAGGAAATCCTGTAAGAGGCTGCAAAGAAACTTGGATTCAGGTTCTCCTTCCTGGTTGTAAGTTCCAGAACTTACAACCAGTTTATGCTTATCTGAGAAACCTTTCATTTTATCTTCATACTGGCTCACTAACAGCATATTATATTTTAAGCAGAACTTTTCAATGGTGCTGACTAAAACACAGGAAAAAAAAACCAGCACATCAAGCTATTATCAACCTACATCAAGCCATCAATTGTTTTTTTGATGAAAGTGAGTATGCTGCTGTGTTCTTTTTTTCTGGCCTATAAAGCCTAAAACTAAAACCAGACATTTTTCATGCATCTTCTTCATCTGTCTGACCCAATTAGTTTCCCTGGGCAGGTGAGCAGAGACGGAATTGAAAAAGTGAAACTTCATTGACACCTGGTGTGGTGAAGAGGGCAAGGTTTAACATTTTCCTCTTCACTCTCATGAATATCTGCATCTACACACTTTCATGCTTTGACACACGTACACAGACAAACCCCCGTACTGACACACAATGTCAGGCTCATCTGTTTATTCCAACCCACTGTCAACATCTATAGGACAAGTTCAGCCACTCATCCTCACTATCTTTGTTTATCCTCTTATTTCTTATTTTCCTGTCAAAACTCCTACAGCCTTGCAAGATAGTTTGCTGTGAAAGAAGCAGATAAGACAGAAGGTGACAGTAACAATAAGAAAAGTGAAATGCTGAAACGCTTGTGGGTGACTGAATAAGCAGATGGTTGACGTAGTGTTGGATAAAGAGTGGCCTTTCATAATGAAAACAGAGGGAAGAAAATTGATTCTCCTTGAATTTAATGCAATCTCCCTTTATTCAATAATTCCAGAGAAAAATCAATCTGAGAATTTCCTGCCCATGTGTATTCACCTGCTGATTCCATCATTACCCCATTCACACCTTAAAATAGAAAACAAAATAACATTTTTCTATTTTCTTAAATGAAAAGTTGACCTTAATCTTAAATCATGCAGCTGAGAACAAGAGGTGCTGATTTCTGTGGAGTGGACTGTATGTGTGATTTGTTGCAGGTAACATCAAGCAAAAAACCTTGGAAACCAGTTGGAATGTGGTGATCAGATTTTGCTCAATTGTTATGAAAATCACTGGCTCACTGATGATTTTAAGCTCATGGAGTCCAATCCTTCTGCAAACATCCAATTAACTGATTTTCTGTCCTTCTGTCTTAAATAGAGCCTAGTCAAAGGACAGGCTAGTCTTAATAAGATCATTTGATTTTGAGCCCATATAAACAATACATTTGGATAATTACTATTTTTTCACCCTGACCTCATTTCAGGTGGATCAAGATATTTTGCACATATAACCAAAACTGATAATAAGAACATAAGTGTTTTTGTTTACAACAGGCTCATAACTGACAGGCCTGATTGAAGATAAAATCAGATGCCCTAACTCACTAGCCATTCTCCTAGGGTCTCTTAATGATTCAGATCACAACAATGTAATGGTTGGGTTTGTTTAAAACATTGCTTTTTAGGTTTACTTTAAGTATCTGTGTTCACTGAAAGTTAACTTTTCAAGACCTGTCAACTTACCTGTTATAATCCCCATTGCAAAGTGCTCTGACAGGGATGGAAAATGGCTCCCACACAGGGTTCAGGGTGTTCTTCACCACCTCGGTCTTGTGACAGATAGTGAAGCTGGAGAGGAAGATAAACAACAACTTCATAATCCAATCAATCAATAAATCAATCGAGCAATCAATTAGATTCTTTCAGTCTTTGTTTAAAGGCCACTTTAAATCCAGAGTGACCAAAGTTATATACAAGTTCATCCTGATGTTCTTGGTTTCCCTTTTGTCCTGAGGTTAGGGTATTAGAGTAACTGAGGACGGGGCCGCCAGGCTACCGTCACCAGGTCAGGTTCGAACACTCCTTCCTGCGCTCGCTATCGCCGGGGTTCCCGGACCAGCCCGAAGCTGCTGGCTCGATTCTGCTGCACTGTAGTCGACCAAAATCTTGGATTTTTTTTTAAATTACCCCCGGACATTAATTTAGGTATGAAAAGTAGGACATGTCTGTGAAAAAGGATATCAATCAATTTGATGTTTTAGTGAGTGAGTGCTTGTTGCTATGATGCGTCTTTGCTCAGCAGCTTATTGTAAAGCTCATTGTAAACCAACCAATCAGCGTTCAAAGGGAAACAATAATTATTTTTACTCGATTCATTTTATTTTGAATCTTTATGCATTTCAACGTGGTTTTAATCCTCCTACCACAGAGAAGCAGGAATCCAGATGCATACTCACGTGCCATCCTCGTTACTTCTATAGAAGACCATGAAGGGATCTGACTTTCCAAAGAAGTCCTTTTTATCCAATTTGTTGGCACAGAACTGCATGGTAGCATAATCCTACAAAGCAAAAACTACAGTTAAAGTAAAGGACATTGTAAATCCATTTTCCACTGTTTCCCTCCTGTTGTTTGTTTATACATGCTGTTTGCCAAGACATAAAAGCACTGAAGCACCAAATGACAGGCCAAGTGCTGACTGAATCCTAATAGGAGTAAAGCAGATCCAGCCACTGGGCTCTAATTTGTTAAAATCTACAAATGCATTCATTACCGTTTTTTTTATCATGCTACTCTTTCATCAAAATACCTTTTGTATTCTGTATAATAAGAGTAACACAATGCGACACAATGCATAAGCATAAAAATTGATTCAAAAACATTATACATGTTGTAATAGGCTCGAGGCTGCATATGAGACTACAGCTTACAATTGACTAGAAAGGCTGGTATTATTGTAATTATACTCATTTAGGCACCAATTCAGTGTTCATTGCTGTATCAAGGACAGTATTGTTGCCTTCTAATGTGCTTAGTGTCCCAGTATTCTAAATATGTGCTTGCTTTACAGTAGATAGTGATAGACATTGGACATGCTGGACATTCAAATGTTTGCATCAAAAATCTTTACTAGAGATCACCAATATCTGTCAGCTTTGTCAAAAAGTTCATGAGCTGCACATGCATGCTAACTATTTTATAGAGAAAGAGAGAAAGCAGTTACTTTGGTTTAGATTTGCTTTGGTCCCTAATGAATTAAAACATAAAAACATAATAAGGGAAAGTCATTTTGTCTAATATTAAAAGCAATCTGATAATTTGAATTATTTAAGTGTGACAAATAAGAAAAACCTGAAATCTTTAAGAGGGCAAATATTGTTTTCAAAGCACTATAGTTTCACTGTTTTAAAAACTTATCTTAAAATCAATTAACTTTTTGCTGATAATGTAATTTTCTTCAGATGTACCTGTATTCTTTAAGGCAGACAAGGACAAATTAAACAAAAACAAGTGTTTCTTGAATAAGGGGATGTAGAACCTATTTTTACCCTTCAAGTCTCCAGGCTTTTAGCTTTTTGAATTGCTTCTGTTTGATCTGAATCAGCAATGTGCTGAGCACGGCCTCTATTGATTGCTTTGACCCACATCAGTGTGGCACGGCCCATCTGCGGTCGACCTCAAACTAACCCCTATCACATCCCTATGCAGTTGGTACAGACACAACGCAGACCTGTTCTGTAGAGGCGCCTGGAGAGACAGAAGTGAATTTCCATGCAGCAAAAAAAGAAATAAAAAAAAGAAAAAGAAAAACATTTAGGTGTATAAAGTCTGCTAAAAATGCTGAAAATCAGCCTACTTTGTAATCTTGTTATTATTTTGCAGTAATAGTATTGGCTTTTTCAAATCAGCAAAGATGATGTCATAATAGAGCAGAGCTTATTAAAAAAGTCAGTGCTGTCAGCTAAATTGACTGTTGCACATCTACTTTCATTTCCTTGGATCATTTCCAATTATTTCCATCATTTTTAAGCAGCTGACAAAAAAGATGTGTGTGTGTGGGGGGGGGGGGGGGGGGGGGGGGGGGGGGGGGGTGATAGAAAAAAAATCTTCCAACCAAGTGCAGATTAACAAACTTAAAAGAAATCCAGTGGGAATTTTAAACCTAAACTATTTTAAACTTCCCTTGGTGGATTTCTTACAAGAATGCCTTATTTTTCATATTCCCATTTGGTCTATTTAAAAAAAAATAATAATACATAGCAAAATAGTTTGTTTGGGTCAGTTACCAAAGCCCCTTGGAGCCATCCTAAACCTTCCCCGCTACAACTCTGATGCAACGTTTACTATCAAAATATCATGGCAACAGCACGCTGTAAGCCCTCATTAGGCACAAATAACACATATCCACTTTGGTGCTTCTGAGCTGTGTTCCCTCATTAAGTGAGGAAAAAGCAGAACATTCATTTGAGCCAGTGAGGTTCAGCAGAAGCAGCAGGGAATACTGAGTGCAGTCTGCATGCTTTTCTCTTCTTTATCCAGATACAACGGCACTGGATAAGTGGCAGAGTGATGCATGCTGTCAGTTTCCCAAAGCAAATCATACAAAAAACCTGAATACATGTTACATAAGCTTCAATGGCATCTTTATGAAAAAGGAGTATAGTGAATCACCGGGTGAATCGTGTGCCAAAGGATTATATGGACATTAATGCAGCTCTTTTCTGTTTCACACATCAATGCATTCATTCTGTTTGCATTTGTCCATATTGAATGTAAGAAAGAGAAGAAGGATTTATTGAATCGTGCATATGAGTTTGGTAAATGAAAAGAAAGAAAAGAACATACAGAGCTGAATTTGACGCATTAAAGACAATTCAATACAAATTTGAAATATTTGCATGGGAATAATGCCTGACATAATTATAACAATCATTCATAAATTATAGTTTGCTTCAGTAGAATATAGTAGGCTGATTCATGTTTTTTATCTTTCACAATTTTCTTGCTGATGATTTTCTTCATTCATAGGAAACTCATAGTGATATACTCAATGAAAAGCTTTGCATACTGCAGTGCTTTGCAAATATTTATATCCCTTCATCATTCTAGATAGCTATTTTCTGAAGTGCTATACATTGTAATAAATTCATGGGTTATATTTATTACTATCCGCCTAATAAGTCTCCTTAATTTAAGGCAAAATCCAACTGTAAAATAGGTAATTGTCACGGTCATGGTTGTTTTAAGTTTTTGTTGAGTTTTCAGTTTCATGTTGATTAATGTTTTTCTTTGTTTTCTAGTTTTATTGGTTTAATTCCTATTTTGTGATTTTTTTTCTGGATGTATTTGAGTTCTTAGTTTTTTCTTTGTTGTCCTCTGTTGCCCTCTTGTGTTGGTCCCGTTTTCCCTAGCTCCTTTCTAGACGCCTCTGTTAACACCTGCTCCCAATTAGCTCGTTACTCCAGTCTTTGTTCAGTCAGCCATAAATACTCTCCCTGTGCAGTTCCTCAGTCCTGGTTCCTCGTCTTTCCCCATCTTTCCCTGGCTCCTAGTGTATGTCTTCCCTGATGTCTCCATGGTTCTGGTTTGTCTTGCATTTTTAAGTTATTTTTGGATTCCTGCCTCTTTTACCTGTGAACACTCTATTAAAACTACAAGAACTAACCTCAAAACATCCTTCAAATCCTGACAGTAACTGTTAGGGTGTCTGGGGTTTTGTTGTGTTTTTCTGGTCTGGGGAAGATTCCTGTTGCAGAGAAGATCTTTGCTGGTGACTTGGCCAACCCCTGTTGCTGCACACCTGAGATCAATCTTTTCAATCAAGATGACTAGCATTCATATAAGGTCCTTAGATTTTTTAAACCAGTTTTTATTCGTATACATTGATGATTTTCTGATTTTTTTCCAGGATGTTATCCGAACATAAGATCCACATGCATCAAGTTCTCCAATGCCTCGAGAGAACCAACTCTTTGTCAAAGCAGAAAAATGTGAGTTTCATGCCACATCAATTACCTTTTTAGGAAACATTCTCAAGAGCAGGTATAGGTTTGATTAACTGATCAGAGAAGGTTCATTTTCAGTTGGCCTACTCCCTCAACTCGCAAATAGATACGTTTTTCATAGGATTTTTCAACTTCTACGACATATTCACTGAAAACTACAGTCAAACTGCTCAACCACTCACTAGCCTTACCACTTCCAAACTGCTTTTCATTTGGTTACCGGGAGCTGAAAAGTGTTTTTGAGAGGTCAAGAAATCGTGTGCCACTTCTTCTATTCTGATTCAGCCAGATCCAGAGAAACAGTATGTCCTTGAAGTTGATGCCTCTGTTCTAGGGGTGGGGCTAAGTCCTATCACAAATGATAGTGAACTTCATCCATGTGCATTCATTTCCTTTGTCTCAAGCAAAACGAAACTATGATGTGGCCGATATAGAGTTGTTGTGATACAAACACTCCTTTGAAGTCAGTTCACATGTGAATTGGTCTTTCTTCTCCTGACATTCAGACCTTCTGAATGCAGTGTACCCATCGCGATTCCTGCTGGCTGTGAAGCGGTAGAGAAAACTGGAGTTTTCACCCTGTGTCGACCAAACTATCCTGCTGCTGCCATGGACACACGGGACCAACCCCTCTGCGAGGAGCCAGCCCTGCAGTGCACCAAATAAAGCTAATGCCCTCATTAGGGACACTCCTGAAATCGCTGTAAGTTATCAAATCGATTAAAGCCCATCAAATACCCTTGTTGTTGGTATCAGACTGACTCAAATCTCCCCAAGAGCTGACCAAGATTTGGAGAAGGACTGGTTAGTGGACTGGATCGGAGCAGAACCATACGCAGCGCTTTAGCTTGGGCAAGTGTAGACACTTAGGTTTTGCATGTGATTTTTGAGACTCTTGATTTTAAAGCTTATGGTTCATATAAAAAAAGTTCTATAAAGAACACGGGTGTCCTGAAGTGTGTGTGTGAGAATGAGTGTGAATGGATTATTTATTTCATTTTTCTTTTCTTTCTCTCTTTTGTCCTGAACTTAACGTGCTAAAGGTGAACTGATATTATTGTGAGGACTTTTTGAGGCATCATTGTGCTCCATTTTACAAGTTTTATGACCCATTGTGCTCCACAACCCTATTAACTCCACCTTCTTTGACCATGTGATAGAAGCGGCCATTTTGTGGTTTTGTGACTCTTTATCTCAGCAAAACTCCCCCCCCTTACGCCGGGCATACACTGTGTGATTTTTTAAATCGTTGCTAGCAGCTACAGCTCACACTGTATGAAGAACCCTCTGGTTACAGTGAGAGTTCACAGCTTTCGATGTATGTTCTAACACCGTGCAGCACGACTCTGATGCAATCTACCTGCTCACACTATATGTCTAAAAACCACTTCGGACTTAGCTCCGCAGTGAGATGGTGCTCCTCGGACTCGTCTATCTGGAAGCCAAACCAGTAGAAGAGGAATATGAAGCTCACTAGAGTGAAATGTGCTGCCTTGGCAATCACTTGCACAGTTCTAAATTCTGTGTTTTCGTCTGAGAGGAAGAAGAGTCCTTGTTTGCACATGTTGACTGAGCGATTTGCCCACGACGGTAGACTGAAAATCAAACATGTTTGATTTTCTCCCGACCTCACAATTCCTGATCGGGAGGTAGTTGTGAGAGGCTGATCACCCCTCGTTACCCCGACACTGCACGACGCAAGATCAGGCTGAAAGTCGCACGAAAATTCTCGCACGACTGGAAAGACTCACTATGGAGGATCTCTACCATATTTAAAAATGAATACAGAAATAAATAAATGGTCAATAAATAAATAATTATACAATAATTGCCCCCAAAAATACAACAAACAAATAAATGTTGGTAGAAATTAAATTATACAGTGAGACATAAATGTATATATCTCTTAATTAAATTCTTTATTCCTTCACCTTTGTAATGATTACCTTATTTATTTATGTGCATGTTATAATATTTTTGTATGTTTTATTCTTCCTTTGTATTTTTTTTTACCCTATTTATTTCTTCAATGCTATTTAGTTCTGTGTGTCGTTTTTACATTTTTGTATGCATTTCTGCCTCATTATGCAAATCTGCCCATTGGTTGGTTAGTGTTTTACTGCATAAAATGTACTTATTTGGGGGTCAAGACTGCTCTCAGTTCAGGTTTTCACCCCCAAACTAACAGTAAATCTGAATGCATTGACAAGGAGCTTGAGGCATCCCTCCACTGCCTCTGTTCTTCACACACACATCATGAAATACTCAGTTTCCTGTGGTCGAATAAGCACATAATTGTCACACTTCCTCTGCTATTGGTCTGTCTCCATTTGAGTTTTCTCTATGATACCAACCTCACCTGTTTCTATCTCAAAAAGTTTGGATATCAACTCGTGACATTAACCTAAAGGCTTTTAATCACAAACTCTCTCCCAGATTCATTGGTCCATTTGAAATCCAGGCAGTGCTCAGTCTCTGCAAATTGTCTCAAGGTGCTTGATCATTTAAAGATTCATCCTGTTGTACACCTTTCTATGGTCAAACCTGTCCTGTCTAGTCAAAAACTGGAACTACCTCATGAGTGTATTTTAAGTTACACAAGATTTTTTTATATACAAACCCAGGGCTGAATTACATGAAAAGTGATTCTTAAAATTTCAAAACTATCAGAAAGATATTGAGCTGATTTTGCAAAGAGGGATTGGTACAAATTTACGATCCAACCAGAAAGTTAAAATAACTTCCTGCAGTTCTCTGCTTTCAAATACTTCTTACTCTTTGTAAATAAAATGTTAAAATTCACTGGTTCTCCCTGTGATTCTGCATGTGGGCCAAAAACCTACAAACCAACATGACAGTAACAATATTTCATAATATGTTAAATCTTTATTGTGCTTCTTTATATTCTTTATATCCTTTCTTTACTGCCTAATTGATTTTAGGGTCTACTTGAATTTAGAGGTGGGATATGCAAAGAGATTTTGTTAATAACCAGGTGGAGCTGCAGTGAAATCACAAGGAAGACATGAAAAACTAACAACAGCTGCTCATTATTTATATGTGCCACAGATAAGGGCAGCCAGAAGGAAGTTTTTGATCCATATTCCCCTGTCTAACCATACCTGGCAAATACATCACAAAATACTTGAGGCAATCCTGCAGAACTTCCCCTGTTGATTCCCACTCTGCTCGTCTTAGTGACAGCTAAAACAACACCTCAGCTGTCTATGCTTACTGGTCAAAATCAGATTACTCAATAAACACTGTCTCGGTGGATGGAAGGTATTCTAAACAATGATTCACGCATCTGGGACATTACTGATAGTAGCGTTGTCACATCTGCTTTTGTCTTGTGTTCTAAATATATTTTTTCAAGCTCCAAAGGTAATCCCAGGTCTGGAGTGACACATTTTCCTAATTGACAAGAAACAGTCATTTGTACTGGTGATAATCATTTGCATTTATATGACTTAATCATTTCCTGAAGTGGTGCTTTGCACTGATGTTGCTAACCACTATTGTCACAGATGCAATGCACCTGATGACTCACAGCAGTCCTTCAAAGAGTATGAGTGCCGACACATAAGTCCAATAGTGCAGAAATCAGTAATGGCTATCATGCCTGGTTCATTATCAGCATTAATCCCATCTGTCTCTGCCCTAACCGCAGACTATTTAAAAAAATATTGAAAAAGATATCCAGGTCAGGTAAAGCTGCTGTCAAACTAGATGCAAGCACCCAGGGAATTAACACAGCTTTGAACCCTCAGAACATTACATGCTATGTGATGCAATAAAACAAGGCACTTAGCGGGTTACTGTACAACCTCAGAGGGAGGTCCAAAAGTGCTGCCAAGAATATCTTGCTACTGTCTAATGCTCTACTGGCAGCACTATAATGCTGTTATTTACTATCCTTATTTTGCAGTGTGGAGAAAAAGCCAATGAGCATTACTGGACACAGGCTATTAATGCAGACTCATGGATTACTACACCGCACAGTAGATACACACAGAGTAAATGCCCGATTTAGTGTTTGGAATAAAGACCCTCTCATTAAACAACAATTCATGCTTGTCGGATGCTCACTACAGTAGGTACACAATTTCCAAATGACAAACGCATTTGCTTGACAGCATGGTGTATAACCTGCTCATTTAATGAGGACATTTATGGTACAATGCATCTCTCTGATGGCAGGAATATAAAACATCCCAAGCCACAAAGGCAAGCATGTGGGCTTTGCTAAACATGCATTTGCACTATTTTATGTGTCATATTAAATCATGGAGTGAATTTGTTTAGGTGGAAAGATAAAAAAAATAAACAAATTTAATTAAACCCTGATATAACATTTTGTCTCCAAGAAATTAGAAAGTAAACTGGTCAAAACTTTTTGGACTTACTCTGCAGTTTCCCAGCTCTTCAGCTGATAGGATAATGGTTCCACATGTCTTCCCAGGTATGCCCCTGTGGGAAAAAAATGGATCATTTAAACTTTCATTAAAAGCAGCATCAGCTCGCCACTGCTTACACATACATTTTTACAGCCTGCCTGTAGGAGGCTTTTAATTGTCTTTGCTGTGCCTTGAGTTGCCCAAAGTTTCCAACCAATTCTCCAAAGTATAATTTCACATTAACTTATATTAATAAACAAGTTTTACTATTCTGCTTCTGTTTCTTTTTTTGGATAAAATAGGGGTAATTTTAAAGAAAACAATAAAGGTTCTGAGAGAAAGAAATACTCAGCTACTCTTATTAGTGGTTGAATGTGTCTATTTCCAAGATAAAAATCATAAAATTTAACATTCCCCCCAAAATGCGTTTTCATCCATCAAATTAATTTGCTGTTTGGTTATAAATACAGTGACTATATCAATTAAATACACTCCATCTCTCTTGACTTCTAGTTTCCTTTTGGGGGGTTGTGGGTTGTTTTTTTACGACTACAGTACATGTCATATTTCAACCATCAATAGCATCATATATAATAATGATGACCCAAGCAAAGTACTGACACAAAATTTTTGTTTGTTGCAGAGTTTACCATTTAAAAAAATGATAACAACTTTAGACAGGGGGGTTTTATGTTTTCCCATCCAAACAAGGCAATTATGTGGGGGAGGGGAGCAGAATTCCATATGCTGAGGAGTTAACACCATTTACAATGCTGCATAATTAATAAAGTCATTTTTCAAGCTTCTGTTTGCACCTAACAGATTCTATGCCAGACGGTCCTGGTCAACCCAGTGTGAACCCTAACATGCACAATGTTTATTGGTTTTGACTAAAGACCCCAGCGGTTTACACTGAGAGCAGCCTTATGTCTGCTATTACCTTTTTCAACAGAAATCTACAACGTCAAGTTGAAGACAAACAGTAGAAGACAGACATGAAACAGGACTTTGTGGAAAAGCATTGTCCTTTATCAAGAAAACAAGTGACAAGGAGAACAGCTGCATACTTTTTCACTTAATTTTGAAGCAGAAAGGTAACTGTAGCCCTACTGACAGAATATCTGTTTGATGATTGAAATCAAGACAGATCAAGCCACATGTTTCAATAATTTTAGTTGCTTGGCAAACATTTTCAAGTTTGTTGTCTGAAGAAGCCTGAAAATCTCTTTTTATGAGGAGACAAGACTGTGTTGAAGCAAAAACATATCCAAAGGTGCATGAAACTAGATCTCAAGGACTGGAATTACTGTTATTTACAAAGTCTCTATTCTCCATTCCTGTTGGCATGGGAGTGAGATAGATGGAAGCTGGTGAGTTTAAAGTCCAAAGAGGGAAAAGGAAGCCATTGATGATGCATCTCACACTGGGTCATTAGGATGAGGAATGGTCTTGATATTTAACAACCCAGAAACGTGTCACGCATACAAGAGTGAGAGTAGATCATAGCCCTCTGCAAGATGAGCAAGAGTTCAACAAAAAGAAAATGATTCTTTCATGCTGTGGCTGTTGCTGGGCTTGTGTCTTTATGCTCGTCTGCAAAGTGAAATAACAGCTAAAAGTATTATTCTGTAATTTTGTACTCAGGTGGAGATAAACCTATTAGAAAAAATATTGTTTTGTGCAGAGCAATTGCGCTAGGAAATAATAGAAGATAATTATCTGATTGTTTCCTTTTCCCAAAGGAAATTAGCAATTGTTCTGGGCAGTGAATTCAAAAATGTGTCTGGATGAAAAAAGGAGTCGAACATCTCCTCGCTTAATGTTTTCAAAGGTTTTTTACTCTACTGTATATTCATATTTACATTAATGTTACAGATTATCAAACACATTCTAATATCAGACAAAAATAACACAACTACATGAATATTGTTTTCAGAGGATGGTTTCATTCATTAAGCAAAAACTTGACTTCCCAGGTTTAAGTTCCAAACTGATGGCTTGACATTTCTCCTTTAGGATTCAGAAGAATTCACAATTCCATCAATTATGGAAAGTCTTTAAGTTTTAAAGCAACAAAACAAAACCAGTGCATCACATTCCCATCGCCATGCTTGACTGTTTCTCTTGTTGTGTTTTTTTCCCCAAGAAGTTTTATTTGTTTTAAAAAAACCAGATATGATAGTAAATACCTCACTGTAGCTGTAAAGAATATGGGAAGTGGATTGAATTGAAAGCAGAACAAACTGGAATTTATGAAACATACAGTTGCTCTCCAGATTCTGACATCCTGTCATCTCTTTTAGAATACAGAGGGAAATTACATGCAAGTCCTGCTGTGGCCTTAGCTGGAGTCCAATCGTTAAAAGGTCAAACCTGCTGCTGATCCTCATCAAGCTGTGACAGCTGATGGGCCTGTCACTTAATGCTGGATTGTAGCCGTCTGAACCAGGAGCAGTTTTTCATTACATCAACAGAGATTTGCATTATTAACTAAGTCGATCACAAGCACAATTATGCTCTTTAGAATAGGTTATTCAGTGGGACTATTAGGACATTTAGAGCACTTTCCTTCTTCATATTTCCCTGTGCCACTAATGTTGCCATTATTGTCAAATTTAAGCTGTTTCCAATGAGCTCTCTTAAATATATCCAGTCCTGTAACACATCCAGTAAAATGCACCCTTCGAGTAAGTATATAGCCCCTTTGGTGTCACGTTTGATCAATACTTAAAAATAGAATCTGTTTTCAAACGATTCAGCTGTAAGTGCATAACCTTTAAATAGGAAATATGTAAAATAAAGCAGCTATATTTGGAGGGAATATAAGTGTCATGCTCTATCTTTAAAGCCTTAGGGAGTATCCTCTTAAGGTGAATTAACAGTTGTTAAATTATTGATGCTTCACTTCCTCCACCATTCGCTGTGCAGTTTGATGGCACCTCAAAGACCCAATAAATGCTCAATGATAAACCTGGAAGATGCAGAAAACGGCCGAAGACTACTAATCTCCTGGAGATGTCAGGAATAGGGGGCACTCCCATTAAATTGGAAATTGAAATCAAGTCCTCGTTCCAGAACCAGCTTGAGATGGGCCATCTCAGCTGCTGATAAGTGAGCAGGTACCAAAAGGCCAATGGTCTTTTAAATTAGTCATGCATTATTGAACACAGCATTTTCTCTTCTGCTTTCTTGTTAAAATGTGACGAGCAACCACACACTGAGTGCATAGAGAGCTCTTATTTGCTAACGTATGTGATGCACATGACTCCCTTTCACAGGTTTTGTCCTGAAATTTGACATTCGGTGAGCTCTTGTATAAATAGACCTCGTTCTTTCTGCCCTCATTCACTGACAAATCTGCAGTGAGGAAATGATGCTGATGAAACAGTTTGAAATGCAAGGAGGTGGTCTTACTTTCTGTGCATGAATGAGGGGTACAGAGTGAATGCTAAGTGTATATGAAGACTGGTTGAATTACATCTTAGCATTTGAAGGCTTATTTCTATCCAGTTATGAAACAGGAGACTACACCTATATCATAGAGTTGGGAAAAATAGAATTCACAAAAAGAGAAAACTTGAAAGCTAATTTGTACAGATCAGAAAAAGGCAACACTTTTGAATCTATGTAAGAACATTTTGTTTGGATTCTCAATCTCCTGTTGTGAAAGACATTTGTGAAATACTGGTCTCAGTTTGGGTTTCTCAGTGGCACCTAACAGTGGGTAGCACTGCCGCCTTGCAGCAAGAAGGTTCCGGGTTTGATTCCCGGCCCGGGGTCTTTCTGCATGGAGTTTTCATGTTCCCCCTGAGCATGCGTGGGTTCTGTCCAGATACTCCGGCTTCCTCCCACGGTCCAAGAACTTGACTGTTAGATTAATTGGTTTCTCTAAATTTGCCTTAGGTGTGAGTGTGTGCGTGAATTGTCGTTTGTCTCTGTTTTGCCCTGCGATGTACTGGCGACCTGTCTAGGGTGTACCCCGCCTTTCGCCTGTAGACTGCTGGAGATAGGCACCAGCACCCCTCGCAACCCCGCTTGGGATAAGTGTGACAGAAAAGGGATGGATGAGTGGATGGATGGATAGTATCATTTATAAATGACCTCATATCCTGAAATGGCAAAACAGTAAACCATCAATAGCATCATATATAATAATGATGACCAAAGCAAAGTACTGACACAAAATTTTAGTTTGTTGCAGAGTTTACCATTTAAACAAATGAGAACCTTTAGACAGGGGGGTTTTATGTTTTCACATCCAAGCAAGGCAATTATGTAAGGGAGAGGAGCAGAATTCCATATGCTGAGCAATATTTAACACCATTTACAATGCTGCATAATTAATAAAGTCATTTTTCAAGCTTCTGTTTGCACCTAACAGATTCTATGCCAGACGGTCCTGGTCAACCCAGTGTGAACCCTAACATGCACAATGTTTATTGGTTTTGACTAAAGACCTCAGCGGTTTACACTGAGAGCAGCCTTATGTCTGCTATTACCTTTTTCAACAGAAATCTACAACGTCAAGTTGAAGACAAACAGTAGAAGACAGACATGAAACAGACTTTGTGGAAAAGCATTGTCCTTTATCAAGAAAACAAGTGACAAGAAGAACAGCTGCATACTTTTTCACTTAATTTTGAAGCAGAAAGGTAACTGTAGCCCTACTGACAGAATATCTGTTTGATGATTGAAATCAAGACAGATCAAGCCACATGTTTCAATAATTTTAGTTGCTTGGCAAACATTTTCAAGTTTGTTGTCTGAAGAAGCCTGACAATCTCTTTTTATGAGGAGACAGGACTGTGTTGAAGCAAAAACATATCCAAAGGTGCATGAAACTAGACCTCAAGGACTGAATTACTGTTATTTACAAAGTCTCTATTCTCCATTCCCTGTTGGCATGGGAGTGAGATAGATGGAAGCTGGTGAGTTTAAAGTCCAAAGAGGGAAAAGGAAGCCATTGATGATGCATCTCACACTGGGTCAGTAGGATGAGGAATGGTCTTGATATTTAACAACCCAGAAACGTGTCACACATACAAGAGTGAGAGTAGATCATAGCCCTCTGCA